TTTTAAATCCAAACTATTGTGACACAGGATCTAATTAGTGGCACTTGTCAGCGTATCCACTGTTAGCGTAACACACCCGCATTAAGGACACTGACTGCTATTCAATCTATAACAGTGAAAAAAGATTATTATTTTTTTTAAATCCAAGCTATTGTGACACAGGATCTACTCAGTGGCACTTGTCAGCGTATCCACTGTTAGCGTAACACACCCGCTTTAAGGACACTGACTGCTATTCAATCTATAACAGTGAAAAAAGTGTTTTGTTTCTTTAAATCCAAGCTTTGTGTCACCAGATCTAATTGGTGGCACTGGTCACCGTATCCACTGTTAGCGTAACACACCCGCTTTAAGGACACTGACTGCTATTCAATCTATAACAGTAAAAAAAGTTTTTTGTTTTTAAATCCAAGCTATTGTGACACAGGATCTAATTAGTGGCACTTGTCAGCAGATCCACTGTTAGCGTAACACACCCGCTTTAAGGACACTGGACTGCTATTCAATCTATAACAGTAAAAAGTTTTTGTTTTTTAAATCCAAGCTATTGTGACACCAGATCTACTAGTGGCACTTGTCAGCGTATCCACTGTTAATGCAATACACCCGCTTTTAAGCGACACTGGACTGCTATTCAATCTATAACAGTTAAAAAGATTTTCATTTTTAAATCCAAACTTATTGTGACACCAGATCTAATTAGTAGTGGTAATTGGTCAGCGTGATCCACTGTTAGCTGCACACACCCGCTTTAAGGACACGACTGCCATTCAATCTATAACAGTGAAAAAGATTTTTTTTAAATCCAAACCATTGTGACACCAGATCTAATTAGTGGCACTTGTCAGCGATCCACTGTTGTATGCACACAATCCGCTTTTAAGGACATTACTGGACTGCTATTCAATCTATAACAGTGAAAAAAGTTTTTTGTTTTTAAATACAAGCTATTGTGACACCAGATGTAAGTGGTGGCACTGACTGGGGAATGGGCACAGTATGCACTGTGAGCCTGACACAGAAGCTGGCAGCAGTGGCAGACAACTGACTGCTATTCAATCTATAACAGTGAAAAAAGTTTTTTGTTTTTAAATCCAAGCTATTGTGACACCAGATGTAATTGGTGGCACTGACTGGGGAAATGGCACAGTATGCACTGTGAGCCTGACACAGAAGCTGGCAGCAGTGGCAGACAACTGACTGCTATTCAATCTATAACAGTGAAAAAAGTTTTTTGTTTTTAAATCCAAGCTATTGTGACACCAGATGTAATTGGTGGCACTGACTGGGGAAATGGGCACTGTGAGCCTGACACAGAAGTTGGCAGCAGTGGCAGACAACTAAGTGCATTTACATTACATAGAAAAAAAAAATCCAAAAAAAGCATACCCTTATCCCTAACCTAGCTATGCTTTTCCCTATCTTATGAACAGCAGCTACACTTTCCCTCCCCTTACTAAGCATGCAGCTTGAGAATGAATCTAAAATGGATGCTGTCCAGTAGGTGGGAGGGTCTGCTAGGGAGGCTGTGCTGCTAATTGGCTGGAATGTGTCTGCTGACTGTGAGGTACAGGGTCAAAGTTTACTCAATGATGACGAATAGGGGGCGGGTCGAACCGCGCATATGTTCGCCCGCCGTGGCGAACGCGAACATGCTATGTTCGCCAGGAACCGTTCGCTGGCGAACCGTTCGGTACATCACTAGATACCCGACACCAGAGCCTGCTCTGCAGGAATCACACTGATCAGACTCCCTCTCTTCTCTCCTTGTTAGGGTGTTGCAAGTTGAAGGGATCTTCCAGCTGCACATTTAAAAATCTGCCAGGCATGCCCAATGCACTTTTCCAGTATTCGTAAGGATAGGACACTCATTGGCTAGATCTGTGTGTCCCCTAGAGTGGGTGTGAAAAGCAAAAGAAAGAACTTTCAATGTCATGGAAGCCATGACTTATCATATATGCTCCTATTTAACTCTCCCTAAATTACCGAACCCCACTTGTTCCTCTTGGGTTCGGCTCTTTTCAACTACCAATCACATGCCACCTCCTCTGGCTTGTTAACTTCACAGAAACACTTACCTCAAGTGCTCTCTCTGGGTGGCCGCCATTTGTATAACCGAAAACACGTGCTCTAGTGTTTGGCGGCCATTTTATCTCCCGAACACAGGCAGTGGTCGTTGAGTGTGTAGAACTATATTTCGGATACTTTGCCTCGTGAACCCAGGGAAAATTGTACCGTTGCCTACTCCATCCCCAGACTAGCCAGGAGAGTGCTTTTTGGGACCCTCCCGAATGGGGAGACCATTTGCTCCCTACGAGCCAGGGGGAGCCTTCGGTTATATTCGCATAGGAACTCTTGAAATTTGACTGGCCACTGCCTCTTTTCTTATGGAACTATATTGGGCAACAGCCACATGGGTGGTCGGTCAAAACTTTACCCCTGTGGCAATTTGGCAATAATACATGGATCTTAGTGCTATTTGGACAACTTGGGTGCTCAGATCCGGGCTATCCGGGGATACTATACTTGTGGGGGTTCTTATCTGTCTTATATGTATTTTGAGGTGTTTTGTTGTAATGTATTATACCTCAAGTGCCTGGGAGATAATTCGTTTAAGCAAAGGCAAATTCACTTATCTCCCAGACACAGAGGCACCTGGTCAGGTTTACTGTTGTGTTGAGATCCCGTGCTGGAGGTCATGTATATAAACAGTCAACTTGGCCCTAATAAAACAGTCCTAGCAACCCTGACACTCAAATTGTATGAGAAGCATTTGACTGAACCACAGCGAGGTAGGATGTCGGATGGGGCATGGCATCCAGTGAAGGCAGCTTCACAAGGTGCTGGACTCCAGATAGGTTTATTACAGGTGTCTAAGGTGGGGGTGCTAATAACTAATGCATAATAGGGCATACTGTATTAAAAGAAAGCTATTTTATTACAGCGTAGGAGTAAATTTTCAAGGGTGAAATACAATTGGTGTATTATATGCAGAAAATATTGTTTTGCTGTAAATCTTGCCAAAATAAGATCATATATTTGATCTAGTAGAGGTAGAAATTTAATTGGGCCTTTTTGTTCATAACTGTACTCTCAGCTGTGTTATGTATATTGAGTAATACGTATTGTCAACTTGATCTGTCAATTATTCTGCTATTTTAAAAACATTCATAAACCTGTAAATTAAGCGATATTTGTGGCTCTTGGCAAAGCTATTTTCAAATAAGATTTTAGGAAGGAGTTGTCAAAGTGACTGTTCACATCCCAATGTGTACAGAGCAAATAGAGGCATCAATCACATCTTCATGACATCTTTTCCTTAAAGACCCAGGCCATGACATACCAAGTAGGAGTATCAATTCTAGAGTATCAGTTTAGGATGCAGACAACATGAGAAGAACCCGTTTATGTATATTTAAAAACATAAAATAGTATGTTTTTTTATTAAGTAGAGAAAGTGCTTTATTGACAAGTGAATTCACTTTTTAGGCTAAAATGGTGGAAGTTTATAAAATTCTCTTATTTATCTATGTTCCTGCTTAGCTATTTTTGTTCTACAATCTGAAATCCCTTGTCATTTTTTTCAACAAGTTCTAGTTTTGGGAATCCTTTAAATAAATAATATATATTTTGTGTGGGTTTACTAACTGAGGCAAATTGTGTTTGATTAGAGAAATACCTACAGGAACAAAATCCATATATATATATATATATATATACATCTATGAAATTTTGCTTTTTAACTTATGTGTTTCATTATTTATGGACAATTTCCCTTACGTTAGTATCTAAAGATTAATTATGTGAAAAAGTTCAAAATAAATAAAATGCGTAGTCTGAGAACACCAATTATTTATACGTTATAACAACTTTGATATATGTTTTTCAGTTCTCAGAAATAGGTTTACAGGAAACAGACCTGGGCCTTAATAAATTTATATTTTTAGGTAGGCTTTTCAAATGATTTATGTACAGAAGCAGGGCTAGTGCTTCCATTTGGCCACTTAGCTGGTCTCCTAGGGTGCCAGCTCACTGAGGTGCCACAGCAGAGCGCTGGTTGTTGAACGAACCGGTAAACAGATCAAAAGGTCTCCCTGACCGGTGCTGTGTCTGCCCCCTCATCCTGCTCCTGATTCCAAGCAATTGAAAGTCTGCCCTGATACAGAGGAAGGAGAACGTCTACGCTCCTTCTACTGTATCAGAGCATTGCTGTGGGTTTCTACGGCAATACTCTGATACATTTCCTGATGTTATCCAGAATGAGCTCTCTGCACCCAATGGGGTTCTGCATTTCCCACTGCACAGCAAGGGAACATGATTCACCTCCCCACCTCACCCCCCCCTCTAGCCCAAGAAAAGCCTCAGGGAGGGAAAGGAAACATTATTTAATTTTTTTCATTAAAAAAAATATATATTTTTTTACCCTTCCCATCAGCCCTTTATTAACCCACTATATCCACTAACCCTCGCTTCAACCTCTAACCCCCCTCTAGAGATCCTAACCCCCACTTCAGCCCCTGACCCCCCACTATTGCCCCTGGCCCTCAAATACAGGGTCTAACCACCTATTACATCCCCTGATCCCTGACACTACTAGAGGTTCTAACCCACCAATACTGCCCCTGACCCCCCAGAACAAGTCTAAACCCCACTACAGTCCGTAACCCCCCAGGTCCTAACCCCATACTATTTTTCCTTACCCTCCACTACAGCCCCTGGCCCCCCACTACTACCCCTGCCCCTCCACTACATGGCCTAGCCACCTACTACTTTCCCTGATCCCTCCACTGTTGCCCCTTACACCACTACTGGTCCTAACTCACCACTACTGCCCCTGACCCCCCACTGCAGCCCATAACCACCCACTATAGGTCCAAACCTCCCACTACTGCCC